ACACATTTATGGCAATTGGGCAATTTTTCAAATAATTTCCCTGGAATTTCCCGCCTTCGCATGCATACATATGCAAATACACACACACACACATAGCCACAAAAAGTAACCGAAAAGTTGAAGCACATTTAGAGGTTTCTTCGCTTTTGCTTGCTTTGGCGCTGTTTCTGGCTTTGGCATTCGGCGTTCGGCATTTGGTGTTCGGTTGGGAAATACATATTTAATAATTCAAAGTTGACTGCTATAAAATCTCAGCGGGTGGTTCATATTTCAGAGCGGTAATTTCATATTGTTCGGCTGGGTGGACCAGGTGGGGCAGCATCCTCTCAGCGCCCGAGCGCTGGCCTTTTTCATCTTTATGCGTCCTCTTAATGTTGTGGTTTACTTAGCGCCCCATTTCTTGCTCTCTGCTTAAGGTTATTGAGTTGTGCGCTTCCTGGGGGAAATTAACCTCTTGCCAGCGGGTGCAATTGTAGCGTGCAGTTAGCTGTCACATAGATCCCCCGCCGGCCCCTTTCCACACTCAACCCTTACTCCCTGGCCCGGCCAGGCCGTGCGATATGGATCAAACGATTTTGTTTGAAGATTAAACTACATGCGGCAGGCATTGCAGCAATTGTTCGCAGCTGGAGCCATGGCGCTTGGGGGCCGGTGCTAAAACGGCCTACAAAACTCCGTCGCGGCCATCGCGTGTCGCATGCAACAAACTGACAGTAACGAGCTACAAAATCAGATGTAAAAATAAAAAAATAAAAATGTTTGGTGGTTTCTTCTATAAAATGAAAATCAACTGAAATTGCAGACACTTTGCACTTTTGTGCGCTGCTAAAACAAAACTTAAATTAAAACGAAAACGAAAACCCAAATCCAAATGCAAGCCCAGACTTAGAGCCAAAAAAAAAAAAAAAAAAAAAAAAGTAAAACCACCCAAAACCAAACGAAAGCAAACCGAAAATGTTGATTTTCGTGCTAAGGCTATTCAAATAGTGCCAGGCCATTTATTACCCTCACAACTGACTTGGATTTTAAAGCCAGTCAGCAAATCACTTAAATCTCTCTCTGCGCAAAAGTCGTTGCCAACTTAAAGCCTTCTCCGGCTGAGCAAATCGCATGATAAATGTTTTCTAACGCATTTACGCTCAGTTTAATTGATTTGCTCCGAGCACTTTTGCTATTTAATCCGATATGTAGCGCTTGTAAAGAGCCCTTTTCGATTATTTAGTCAAATTGTTTATTCAGTTGCTTTCAGGGATTATTTTTGTTGAACATAATTTAAAGTTGTGGTAAAAAAGAGATTATTTGTTTTCTGTCACTCTAGACTAGATTATTAGTTGCTGGACTTGGTAGATGCCAAAATAAAATAATAAATAGACTGTGATTAACTAAATAGACAACAACAAAAAAAAAAAAAAA